GGTACAGTTGGAAGACACATGTAAGAAAATTTGTCCTAGTTAAGAAAAGAACAACACAATGAATCTGAGGCCTCAGTAAGTGAAGGAACACGCCCAAAAACAGTTGAGGAGGGAAAACAAATGTACAGAATCAATCAGGTTGGAAAACACCTCTGAGTTCATCAAGTCCAACCTATGACCTAACATCAGCATGTCAACTAGACCAGAGCACTGTCACATCCAGTCTCTCCTTAAACAACTCCAGAGATGGTGACTCCACCACTTCCCTGGGCAGTCCATTCCAGTGTCTAATCACCCTTCCTGTGAAGAAATTCTTCCTAATGTTTAAGGTAAACCTCCCCAGGTGCAGCTTGAGACTATGTCCTCTTGTCCTGTCACTAGTTACCTGGGAGAAGAGATCAACCCCCACGTGGCTACAACATCCTGTCAGGTAGTTGTAGGCAGTGATAAGGTCACCCCTGAGCCTCCTCTTCTCCAGGCTAAAGAACCCAAATTTCCTCAGCCACTCCTCACAGGACATGTGTCCCAGACCTTTCACCAGCTCCACTGCCCTTCTCCGGACATGCTCCAGCACCTCAGTGTCCTTCTTGGAGGCAGAGGCCCAGAACTGGACAGAGCACCTGAGGCGTGGCCTCACCAGTGCCAAGTACAGCACAGTCCTGCTGGCCACACTACTACTGATGAAGGCCAGGATGCCACTGGCCTTCCTGACCACCTGGGCACACTGCTGGCTCATGTACAGAACCTACAATCTCTCCTACTTTTCCTTAGCTGGCAGAGAAGGCTAATAGAAGTGATAAATTCTAATGGTATTGCTTTATGGATCAAGATCTCACTTTCCTTTTGTCTATCTCAAAATCCTAGGGCACAGCACAACTCACTCCACACTCCCAATCAGCAGGGAATGTAGCAAAGATTACACCTTCAGAAGTACAATTCCCTTTAGAGCTCTTCCTGGAACTGACTGTACTACCTTTCAGTTTGTGCTAATGCTTGATGAAACAACTGAATCTCTTAAGAACTTCCAAAATGAAACAGCAGTACCAATTAATTGGTGTTCTGACTGGGATCAAGTCAAAGGTGTCTTGTAGTACCTTGGGATATGGTCTGCTCTGCTTTGGAGTGAACCAATCAGTCAGAGATTGATGAAGGGGTGGTGAGGTCAGGTTTGCAAATACAGAACCATCTGCAGAGTCTCCTGGGTTGGTACAGTAATTTAGTAATTTAGCAGCATAGTAATTTACAGGAGCAGGTGTTTCCTTTTAATCTACATTGCTTTTCTGCTGAAATTGTAACTTTATTGAAAAAGTGCCTGCAGTGTGTTATCAAGAGGGTAGGTAGTTTGTTCACTGCTGCTATTATGTGCTGAACAGTTTCTGAGAGTTGTCATACCCATATTCCTTACAAACACACCTATGAGGCTATGACATTAAATACATGTCAATCACAAACATCCTCAGAAAGCTGCTGTGCACAAACATTAACCTTAAAAAGGCTGTTTTAAAAACAAATTTTGTTCAGAAAGGAGACATTTTGCCCTGAATATGTATTAAATGATCATAGTTGTTCAGATTATCATTTATTTCTGTTTACAGACATAAGTATTTATGGAGAAAGGAGGTTTTCTGAAACAAAATAAACTAACCAGGAATTCCAGCTGCAACTTCCCACCTGAATTGATCTTGTTGGCATGGACACACTGGTAAGTCCCCTGTGGTTGGGATCCAAAGCACAACAGAAGGTCAGTAGAGAATACTTACACTCAGGTTCCTGGCTTTGCTGCACCTCATCCTCTGCTCCAGCTCTATCATAATCTCTTCTCTGGCCCAACATCTCTCACCCCAACTCCCAGATCATACAAACTGTCTCTGCATCATTAACTTCAACTCATGGCAAATACTGAGGGTGTGCACAAAAGGTAATGAAAGGACCAAGACTCAGCAACTGAAAACAATCCCTTGTTCTGTGTTTCAGTCTGGTAATTACTTTAAAGACAGATTTAGTCCTAATTTAGTTTTTACGTGATCAGACATCACCCTTTAGTTTCCTTTCTTTACTTCTAGGAAGGTTTCCTCTGCTCCCGGCGTGTTTCCCTGTCACTGATGAATACTGAGACAAAGAAACCTCTCCTTTCCCAGAAATAACTGCCTCATCTGTTGGTAATTTCCCTTCCCAACCCTCATGGAACACATGGCTTCCTTCTATGACCTCTTGCTGTGTGCACATTCATTAAATCTTTTCTTTGCTCGTCTTGCAAAATTTTCTAAATTTGATAAAAACTTTTAATGTATGTTTTCTGTCTATTCTTATCTCCATAACTAAAGAAATACAAAGTGTTTTCATTAGTCCTTTAAGCAAAACTGTTAAATGGCTTATTGAATAAAGAATAGCTTCCCATTTTCTTTGCATCCCTTGTAGCTCTACATTCGTTTCCACAGCAACAAACTCGTACGGTTTCTGTCACCCAACATGTTTTAATTTTGCCCCCTCCCTCACAGCTACGTGCTTTCTGCCCAGCCCCCTGCAGCAGCACACACCAACCAAGGAAAATGAGCAAAAATGCATTTAAAGGTTTATGTCTGGGCTGTTGGATCTAGCCATGGATTTACTCAGACCTTACAGTGGTCTGCAACTTAACAACCTTCTGTTGGAATAAACAACACCCAAGCACACAGGAATTTTTGGAATTTTATTTCCCCTCACATAATTTGCTCTTGGTTCAACACATCGCTATGCCACAAGCCTTAATTAAGAGAACAGCACAAAACAGTTCTGCAATTCTACTGCACCAGAAACACCAAACAAATCCTCTGCATAAAAATGTGAAACCAGGCCATGCAAGTTCCAAATCTGAAGTCTGCACAAACTGTTTTTTCCACTGGGACAGAATTTGTCACAACAATTAATTTCCTTTACTGTTGACTGAAAATATGCAATATATTAAAATAAGTCTTAGTGAATAATTAGGACCACCAGGTCAACTACACAATATTTCAGGAGAATAAAGTTGCTGCTCAGAAAATGAGTCCTCTTTTTCTTGCCACTCTCAGCAGCCCTGCCTGTTTTGCATATGGTTGCAGGTTTAATTAGCAACCCTTCTGTAAGTGTCTGCAATTAGCACAATGATGATTAATAAAATAACTCCTTTAAAACTCCATTTAGGCACCAGAACTGCACAATCAGGTATAATTAATTCATCATTAATAAATCATGGCTGATTAACTAATCTGTTGATTAGAAACACATTACTGCATAAACTCCCACCTGAGCTCTGGTGATTTTTCTATCCTGAACAGAAGTAGAGACCGAGTAGCAGGAAATTATATTTAAAAAAAAAGGCTTTAAGCAGCAGAAGAGATCAGTTTGGTCAGGAAATTTAGATAACAAGTATGTTTAAAATTTATGTGCCTTGTTCATTACTAGTCCTCTTGAGTAAAAAAGAACAATTGTGAAAGGATTAAATTTTAAATAACACTGTTAAATGTGGATGGGTGAACCACCATTGGTTCTTTAGCTCACCTATATTCTAAAGGAAGGCTTTTTTCCCAAAGCATCTCAGATTATGGGGCCAGATTTGCACTGCCAGCAGGAAGCAGCACGCGCAGCGACGCAGGCCTGCAGCACTCGCCACGGAGTGCCCACCTCGCCCCGAGAGCCCCGAGAGCAGCGCAGCGGCGAAACCTGCCACTGCGCCAGTGCTGCTGGGCAGCCCCACAGCAGTGCTTGGCACATGGCTTCCAGTGTATGTTTACAAAGCACTCTACAGGAT